GAGAGAGAATATATATATATATATATATATATTTTTTTTAATTTATTTATTTTGAGAGAGAGAGAGCAGGGGCGGGTCAGAGGTGGAGGCCGGGAGAAAATCCCAAGCAGGCTCTTAACTGCCCGCGTGCGGAGCCGGACTGGGGCTAGAACCTATGATCTGTGAGATCATGACCTGAGCCAAAGTCAAGAGTCCTACGCTTAACCTACCGAGACCCCTGGCACACCAAGGGAGAGAGAGAGAGACTCTTAAGCAGGCTCCACACTAAGCGCGGGGCTCCATCCCACCACCCTGGGATTATGACCTGAGCCAAAAGCAAGAGACAGTGGCTCAACCTACTGAGCCACCCAGGTGCCCCTCCACCTTATCTGAGTTCTAATGGACACACAGCAAGTCGCTGTCTTTTACTCAAAAGGCTGTGCACCGAGTGTTTTCAGTGCATTATCTCATTTGGTCCTGGCAGCAGTCCACTGGGGGCTCATCCCCATTTCTCAGAGCAAGAAACTGAGGCACAGACAAGTGACAAAGACCCTCTCCTTGACCAAACTAATCAGAGCACTCTTTTCGACTAGTCCTTGACCTTGGCCTGAGCCTATCTTCAGCCTGTTCCGTCCAGTCTGAGCAAAGAATCCTTTAAGTCGTCAGCCACTTTTGATATCTGATCAAGTTCCTCCCAGTTGGTGTCCACAGAAAACTGGAGAATTATTTGGTGTGGCAAACCCACATACTGGGTATCAGAAGTATTGTAAGTAGAGAAAGCTTTCCTTTAGCATGCATTAAAGAAAACTTTCATGGGCTTCGCCTGTGGGTCCAGTTTTAAAGAACAACAGTAATAAGGCAACTACCCAGCCCAAGAAATAAACACTCACTCCTCCTCAGAAGCTCCTTGTTCTAAATCAGCAAACCCATCTTTCTGTCCCTTTGTCTGCTGTACTTTTCTTTGCAGTCTTTTTTCCCCCAAGTTTTTGTTTATTTTTGAGAGAGAGAGAGAGAGAGAGAGAGAGAGTGCATGCACGCGCATGTGCAAGCAAGGAGGAGCAGAGAGAGAGGAAGAGAGAAAATCCCAAGCTGGCTCCACACTGTTTGCCCAGAGCCCTACTTGGGGCTTGAACCCATGATCCTTGAGATCCTGACTTGAGCTGAGATCAAGAGTCTGATTCTTAACCAACTGAGCTACCCGGGCGCCCCTTTTTGCAGTCTTTTTTTTTTTTTTAATGGGGCACTAATTTATTTATTTTTAAATGTTTATTTATTTTGAGAGAGAGTGTGTGAGAGCTGGGAAGGGACAGAGAGAGAGAGAGAGAGAGAGAGAGAGAGAGAGGGAAAGAAGATCCCAAGCAGGCTCCACACTGTCAGTGTTCGAAGCCTGATGTGGAGCTTGAACTCACAAACCGCAAGATCATGACCTGCGCTGATGATTTGGACGCTTAACTGACTGACTCACCCAGGCGCCCCACTTTGCAATCTTTATGACAATCTGACATTTCACTGGAAGTTTCTTTGAGCACTGATCTTCACGCCTGTCTTCCACTCTAGAAGGTCAGCTCCACAGCGGAGGGGTCCGTGTGGTTCTCCACTGCACCCTCAGCACCTGGAATTATGCCTGACACCCCGTAGGTGCCTAAGAAACTGGTGGGGTGAATGGCCTAGGGAGCCATTGGGCCTGACCTGCTGTCCTGCTTGCTGTGGAAGGGCTGACCGTGGCCTTCTGGCCTCAGCTTCCTCTCTGCCACGGGGAGTGCAGCGACAGGAAGCCAAAGGTGCCAAATGCTTTAACAGCCAGCTGAGTGAGGGGGGGACAGCCTCTACTGGGCCCAGAGCTGGCCCACAGAGCACAGAGTGAGTCCGGGACTGGGTGTCCAGCATCCCCGGAGGGATGGGAAATGGCAAGTGACTATTATGACTAATGATCATAATGATGGTAATAACCCCGGCAATAAGAATAAATCATAATAATAGCTCACATTGGCCCAGACTGGATGCCAGGCCCAGGGCTGAGTGCTTAGAGTTTAGGGAGCCCTCTCAGTTTCTTTTATTTATATTTATTTATTTATTTCTAATGTTTTTAATGTTTACTTATTTTTGAGAGAGAGTGCAAGTGGGGGAGGGACAGAGAGAGAGAGAGAGAGACAATCCGAAGCAGGCTCCAGGCCCTGAGCTGTCAGCCCAGGGCCCAACGTGGGGCTCGAACCCAGGAACCACAAGATCACGACCTGAGCCAAAGTCAGACGCCCAACCCACTGAACCACTCAGGTGCCCCTATGTTTATTTATTTATTTATTTATTTTTAAGATTTTATTTTTAGGGGCGCCTGGGTGGCTCGGTGGGTTAAGTGTCAGACCATTGACTTTGGCTCAGGTCATGATCTCACGGTTCTTGGGATCAAGCCCCGCATTGGGCTCTGCACTGAGAGCGTGGAGCCTGCTGGAGAGTCTCTCTCCCCCACTCTCTCGCAAAATAAACAAATAAACATTAAAAAATAAAAGAGGCACGGAAGCGGCAGGGAAGGCTCAGATACTGCTCCCGGGGCCCAAGGCCTCCTTCTCAAACTCCTCCATCGCAGACAGATACACCAACCACCGGGGCTTACCCAGGACCAAGGGAGATTCCCAGGCTGGGGACTTCCGCGGTTAAAACTGCGACAGTCCTGAACGACCTGAGACAATTGGTCACTGGTGTCCAGCGGATTTTCAGGAGGAAGTTAGCACCGGGGGATTCCCCTGAGTCTGCAGGGAGGGGCCTCCCGGAGCTCCCAGCAGACCAGGGAAGAGCCAAGAGTTGATGAACTAAATTAGAATCTTTGTGTTCTTTTCAATTGGAGGATCGGTGGACCCGTCAGCCCCTTCCCCCAAACAGCCATTAGGTTGGTCAGTTTTCTGGGAACCCTTCCAAGGAATTGTCACACCCTGTCAGCCACACATGTGAATACAGGAGTCTAGTCAA